TTCCGGACAACCCAATAACTTCCTTTTACTCTCCAGACATCACACACTCACCCCATTGATCCAAAATCATATTTTTTATTACATCTGTTACTTAATAAAAGTTATAATATATGAACCTTAAATCCAAGGGTTTAACCTGGAAAAAACTACAATATATAACCCAGGATAATCAAGAATTAAAAAATGGAAAAGGACATCTTACAACAGTTTCTGATGATGTGTGTAAATTCCCGGAACGCCAAAAATTGAATGGAAAAATGGATCAAAAATTTTAAAAAAAAACCAACATATAAATAAAATTGACAATAAGTCTTTAAAAAAATTCTTGTTACATAATAAAAATTATAAACAAATTTTAATGCTATTTTAAGAGTTCTTTATGAAAAGCTGAAAAGCGCATTTTTTCTGTTATTCCTTCTTTTATTACACATCAACAATCGTATTATTAATTCATGTCCTTCGCTATTTCCCCCCTGTATATAATAATTGAAATGAAATTATAATTAATTTTTTTTTTCAAATAAAAACACGGATGCCCGCTATTCTTGAATTTGCCTTCGGGACGTGAAGGCCGTACGGTCCAGCCAAGTTCCGGCATTACTGTAAAATGACATTGGCTTTTATTGTTCGAATAAAAACAAACAAAACATTAGTATTCAGTTTTAATTAATTTATAAATATTTACACAGTGATGTAAGATGAAATATGTATGAAATTGTATGCGAGATTTGTATACGTTTTGCCCGTATGGTAAATGACCAACATGGAAAAATGGTAATTAAATATAAAAAGGAAAATCTTATTGGTAAATCGAGAAAGTGGAATTTCCCACTGCACACTGTTTCTCACGCTTGTTTTATAACTCGCATAAAAATCCGCTTTGGCTAATTAACGTTTAATTATTTTAAACCTCTTTTTCGCGAGTTATTTTCCACCTTTACTGAAATTGTTCAAGATTGATTGTATAACATGTATGCAAAAGATCAACAGAGTAAATAAGATTAGATGGTTGTTGTTGACGTTTTGAGCACACCGTCCTCCGATTGTAAGTGGTCAGGACGACTTTTATTAGCTCGAGAGAAAAGAACCTTTCTAATTTCTAACTGAAAGTGAACAAAAAAAAATTGACTGGACAAGATTGTTGACTATAGAAATCGAGGATGACAAAATTCGAATCGGACGCACGGGTGATGAATAATTAATGCAAGCCTTCAGGCTCAACAATTTAAAGGCAAATGAGGGCTCAATAATTACAATCTACTCTAGTCTTGGAATAAGAACAAAAACACTATGGGATAATGCAGGATGCAAAACGGAGAAACTGCTTCAAGAACGTCGAAAGACATTTGAAGCTTTCAAGGTTAATTGTGGGTTTGACACAAAAAAAGGAATGCTTTACTAGAGGTCCTTGTATGAAATGGAAAAACCTTTGGGTGTTGGTTGTCATCAAGTTGAAATGCCTTAAGATCGTTAGGCTATATGAGATTAGATTTTGTAACTACTTATTTATAAATCATATAAGTCTGGGGATTTTCGTGAGAAGGGCCGGTTTTATGGGTGGAGCCGATGGTCGAAGCCCGTGGACTGATGTTAATGAGCCGGCTGATGATGCAGAGGGAGTCGGTAGACTGGGTTGCGAGCGAAGGACAGTAGCAGGTAACTCGTCGGCTGTTGAGAGTGCGAGAGATGATGCTGCGAGTACCCTTGTTGTAGCTAGAGATAACGGCTTGCTTAATTATTGAAAGTTTAACCGTCCTCATCGTCTGAAAAATGAGACCATTGTTCAAGTATTGGTAACACCTAGTGGATAACTTGTTCACTTCACATAGCTCCCCCAATGATTGAGCCAAGCAGCAGGCTAATGATGAAGAATGGCTTATTTTGTGCAGCGCTTTCCTAGCAGTCACTAAAAATTCTCAGGAGCATTATCACGTATGATGCAGAGGGAGTCGGTACACTGGGGAGCGAGCGAAAGGACTCGTGCTACAGGCAGCCACGTCGTCTGTTGACAATGCGAGTACCCTTGTTGTAGTTAGTGGTGACGGTTTGCTCCATTAGAGTTGATACCTCGTCGACGAGTCTGGAATACAAGGATGAGGTTATTTTCAGAGCTGCTGCAAGCTAGAAGACGAAATCATTGTTGAGGCACGGTAACACTTAGAGGATAATTTGTTAATTCAGGTGGTCACCAGAGTTATAACACACATGGGTCTTAATTTATCATACAGGTCCCAAAACACTTCCCCCTGTGGAAAAAGTATTAACAGAATCTGACAGTAAGTATGTTTGGGGTTCATCAGTTTGTTTTCAGAATCTTCATCGTGTTGGCTGACCATCGAGTCAGTCCTTCCTTTGATTTCTTTCCTTAGAGGTTTGTCTGTTTCTACTGATTAGCGTTGCTTCCTCACTATCTTCTAAGGTGTTCTTTGATAGTTTGGAACGTTCTAGGAAAATGGTTCCTTTCCTATGAACCCTTTTTCTTACTTATTGAAGTTTTCCTCTATGCCATCCAGTAGGCTCTGTTTTACATTTAGTCAGGCAATTCAGTACCATGTTTTGGGCATATTCAAAGTCAATTATTGGCTCTCTGACATAGTGTAGTAACTTCTGTGGCTTACTAAAGTTTTCACCAGATGCACTAATTCGACAATAATTTAAACCAGACTCGTCGACAAATTCTCATTCACGGGAGCATGCAGCCATCAGATGCCACAATCAACAGGGTCCTCAGAACAGTTCGCACTCGTCGCTTACTTGACTCACGTCAGTTCGATGCCCTACATTTCCTACTCAGCATACTCAGTTTTTGGGGTACGAGTCTACCCAGGCATTTAACCCCTCGGGTCTTGATCGCCCGCCTATATACATATATATACTTAGACTCCGTTACTATCATCTCAAAAATGGTCAGTGAAGGTATCCAAAATCTTCAAAACATGGGGGACACAGAACAACTTTATCTTGGGTGTCAGGAAGCGAAGTATGGGTAATGAAAAAGCAAATTGGGAAAAAACTAGGGAAGAAACAGTCTTCATAAATCTGTGATAATTTTATTTGGCAAATTAAATTTTGCACCCTTCAAATGAAGTTTCTGAAATGAATCCTGCCTGAATCCTTCCAGTTTGTGTTCCAGAAGTGCTAAATTTACGAAATTTCACCGTCATAGAGGATTTTTACTTCTAAGTCTGTGACGTTGTTTTTAAATATTGCTAATCATTTGAACAAAGTGTTGATATGTACAGTCATAAACATTAAAGTCTGTGCGTGTTGTATTGAATTTTTTTGTGCGCATGTAGTGTGTTTTTCATGGTTAATTTTTACCACAAAAAATATATTTCCAAAATATAACATTTAATATTTGCACCATCCATCTTTTTATCATACATTCTTTATCGTCCGTTGTGGAGAGGTGGACAGTAATCCGATCACGTTATAAAATAAAAGAATGAGCCACGAGACGGCTCCGAGCAGATTTCAGACACGCAATTCGGTCGTTCTCCCGTAATGGCCCAGATTTCCAGTAAACGTTCAACATAGATATTAAGCACGGGGGACCTTTATCTCTCCTTTTACCGCTGGAATTTATCCGTCGCCCTTGACGCCTCCACCAAACAACAATCATAAAAACGACTATGTAAAACGGCGTAACTTCTTTTAATTACGTCGATATAATTAAAAAAACACAAAAACATTAACGGATTCAGAGAGGCAACTATGTTTTTGCAGAAACCAACAGTGATTTCTCTTAACAAAATGGCGATATAATTCAGCATGTCTTCACTTTTGAAAAAGTACTGATCTAACAAAAATTGGTTATATCAATTTCTTAGTCGATTTTTTTTTCTCTTTGAGGCTGCAAACTCTTAAGGTTTTCATAAAACGTCTGTAATTTAGGCTTGTCAGCCCCACCTAACCCTCATCACAGGAGTAGCTTGGATGTTTTTAGTTTACTCCCTTTGTCGAAACCATCCTCCAAGGGACAGAAGCCCTCTTGGATCGTCTGTTTCGCTTTGAGCAGTTATAACTCATACCTACGATTTTACAAACTAGTTGAAGTTGTGGTTTTTCTTTTTCCTATTCAATAAAAAGTTAGCTTTTTTGCCACAAAACACAGCTAACTTGTCAAAGCCCATCTTACAACTGGTTGTATATATGTATATATAACTGGATAATTCGGTGGGCACTAAATCATAGAACTGCAACTGAAAATTGCATAGACCTAAGTGAAAAGACAAAAATGGCTAAACACACTGAAAGACAAATCAAAATGTAAAAAAAAAAATTCTGTTTTTAGTATTAAAAGTATTGACCACTTTTTCACTTACGAACACTGGATGAAGGTATGGTCTTGAAGAAGAAAGCAAATATAGTTGCTACTGGCAAGCTTTCAACCTATTTTAAGGTCATCATCAGGGCAAAACAACCCTCTACAGATTGACATATTTAAGTTTTTACAGATGATCTCAAATTTCCTTGAAGACCGACTCATTTCCAAGGACTGTAACAAACTGTTTATAGTCAAGGAAATTTGAGATCGTCTGAATAAATTTAAATAATTCAATCTGTAGACATATTTAAGGTTTTTGTCCTGATGACGACCTTAAAATAGGTCGAAAGCTTGGCTGTAGAAACTAAATTTGCTTTCTTCTTCAAAGCCATACCTTGATCCAGTGTTCATAAAAAAATATAAACAACAGTAATGGTGAAAATCGTCTATTAAATTTGATGGCTTTAAAATAACAGCTGAAACATTTTAATATTATCTATATTTGCTAATCTACTTGCACTAAGAAGTTCTGCGCCTACATATTATGAGGATAAAAAAAAACAAAAAAAAACCAGACTTTTACAAAAAAGGAACTGAAGTTAAAAGTAGATAGATATATAGAAAAATAAAGACATATTGACACATAGACTTGTGCCAAATATATTTAAAATGCATATTCATGAAGGATCTGCTCATACAAATGAAATAATAAATTTATGTTATTTTTTTCTAGGGAAGAAAGACTTGATTAGGCCAAAGTGTCATTTGCCGTCCATAACTCCGTCCGTTTTGCCTGATGGAGGAAAAGTTTGATTTGCCACCAATCTCAAAAATATGAGGTAAGGGACAGTCGAACTGATTTTTGTTGATCTGACATAAAAATGAAACTGATTTCAGATATATACAGCTGCGGGAAAACAGCTCTGCTGGGAAGAATAAAAAACTGACAGCGTCCCTCGTCGGAGTAATAGTCACATTGTGCCTTATATCGTTCATATACAGCCAGAGTTTCGTAACCACATTGCCCACATCTTCGTTCGCCCCGATAAGAAGAACCATTCAGGTAAATAAACAAATTCTTTGTATTGATCAACGAATTAAATATAAGTATATTTGACTTTTCAGAGTCTCTCGCCAATCAGCGAAGTCACTGATCGTACCAATGTCTCAGCTGACATTGAGCAAGTCTTGGAAGAACAGAGAGCGGAAATAGAAAAGGAACTGAAAGATTATAAATTTCCTAATAGGAAATATAACATCAGTGCAAAGTTAGTATATACTGCAGTTTTTATTGTGTGAGTATATTTTGCAATGAAATTTTTCGTTTGTCTAGACCTCTTGACAATTTGGTCCCAGAGAAAGGAGGCAAGCCTGTTAGAAGCATCATCATAGCGACATGGAGGTCTGGCTCCACATTTCTAGGTGATATTCTGAACAGCGTACCCGGTAACTTTTACCATTATGAGCCTCTTCTTGACCATGGGATCGTCCAGGTCAGGGGACCTCCGTTATCCACCAAATCGCTCACTTACATCCGCAAACTTTTAAACTGCAATTATACAGGAATGAGTAAGTTTGTTTGTATTTATGAATGGCGTGAAATTAAAACGTTTTCTGTTTTAGACTCGTATTTGGAGTTTGGAGTGGATCATGTGTACCTTTTCTCACATAATGTCAGGTTGTGGAACAAATGTGCAACATACCCCCACATATGTTTTCACGCTCCGTTCCTCAACAAATACTGCTCACTGTTTCCGTTCCAGTCAATGAAACTAGTCAGGCTAAGGCTGAACCTAATTGAGGAACTGCTTCAAGATCCAAAGTATGATTTGATTTATAAGCAATTTTATTTGTTTATTTTTATTTTTCACATTTTAGCCTTGGCATACGGGTGCTTTTAGTAGTAAGGGATCCTCGAGGAACTATGCAGTCAAGAAAACATAGGGATTGGTGCCCAGGCTTTCCTGATTGTTCTGATCCGGCTCTGGTCTGCGCCGACATGGTGTCAGACTATTCAGCCGCTGTTAGGTTCAAAAAGAAATACCCTAATACATTTCGGTAAGGATTCGTTTCAATTGAAGTGATTAATTTTATTTTATATTAAAGAGAGTAAATTTTCCAGGGTTTTGCGATATGAAGACTTTTCCATCAACCCTTATAAAGGGACAGAACAGCTTTTCAAGTTCTTCGGGCTAGAGTTCACCCATCATGTGAAAAAGTACCTCGACACGCATACAAAAATCAATGCCGGGGGAGTATCAAGCACTTACAGGAACTCGTCCTACGCTCCTTTCCACTGGAGGACCGATCTCGACCATAAGGAAGTCCTGAAAATACAGAAAAGCTGCAAGACGGCCATGTCCATATGGGGATATGTCAAGGCGAATAATATTTCACACCAGAGGAAATTCAATCCGATCCTGCCGAATTTCGATTTGAAATTTATTCCTTGAGATTCAAGATGGGAGACTAAATTCTTATAATTGTTTTGTCCCCTTGTGATATTATGAGTAGGATTTAAATCAATGGAGGGATCAAAATGCAACAATATTGAAATATTCCAAGCAGGAGAAATTTTCTTTTAGATCGTCGTTGATCTACTGTTGACCAGAGATTTGACTTTATACATTTGCTCGTTGAGAACATACTTATTTGGCTGACAGAAAAAAATAAACAGTAAAGATAGTTGGTTTACAATGTATTTTTAGAACCATCTGCAGTCTTAAGCTTTTTTAGTATATTATTAAAACGAGTATAATGATTGTATTAGACAAAATAAAAAGAACAAAACTTTTGAGATTAGACAAAATTGATTTGATGCAGTGAAAAATCCAAAGCTCGACATCCAAGAATATTTGGCCTTTATTCATATTTTAAAATACTGTGATCATTAAATTTGCCATAAATATCAAGAAAAGATGCCATTTTTTTAACTATACCCTACAGAAAGGAAAAATTTGTGCCTGTCAACAAGTATTACAGCCAGGGCAGATTCATAAAGCGTAATGACAATAAGTTTGCAACGCTACTACGATTTTTAGCCGTAGGACCTACAGCAATAAACATTGAAAAAATTATTTGCTCATAAATTCGTCTTTAAAATAATTGTCGCAGTGTTAAAATGCGTTTAATAAGACAATTTCTCATATCGTCTCAATTTGATGAGAGCAAGGTACTATAAAGTAATTAGACTGAAGATTCACGTTAATAAAAGTTAATACCTAGAGCTAAGTTGTTTTTTATACAATCATATTGACACTTATATAAATTTATTGCATGTTGTTTTTGTTTATGTAAATGTTTAAGATACTAACATGTTACCAGGTCATAATAAAAATTATAAAAGGCATAATAGTACAAAAGGGTTAAATTTTATAGAAGCGAGTTAAAAGAACACACAAAATTATTGCTTTTTTTCTGAATCAATCACTTTAATCACGATGAACATTTCCACTGTTTTGTACTTAAAAAGGAAATTCACACCAGCGTATAGCACACATAAGGGCCTTAATAAAATAAAAACACATATCTTTAGTGCCTTTTCAAATTGAATGCTTAAAAATGTTCTCATAAAAAATAATTCCTTGGTCAATTATAGAATATGTAAGATCGAATTAGAATCAAAGCCTTTTATTCAACTGTGATAAATTGTTAGACTTTTATGTTGTTTTGGTTGATTTAAAATAAAATAAAAATAAATTAAAATGCAAAAAAATATTGTCAACACAATTAAACTTGACTTTTTTTGCAATGTAAATTTTTTGTTAGTTTTAAGCAAAATTTTATTTTAAAAACATAAAAAAAGCAATGTAACATAAAAGTATGTCTTGTACAATTAAAACTGTAATTGTTTCAATGTTTTTCGGATAATGAATTTTTTCCCTTTTCTTTGAGCCATTTTTTTTTCAGCTCATTGTCAGTCATTCTGGGTTTAGTTAAAATATCTTATGTAAACTTACAAGAGATAAGATATTTTAACTAAACCGAGAATAACTGACAATGTATGTAAACTTACAAGAGAGGGGGCATCGGTGGCCGCAAGGTTTAGTCGTTGACATGGTGCTCATCACTGCAAGGTAAAGGTCCTGGGTTCGAATCCAGCGGCCCTTCATTTGAACCCGACATGGACTTTTTTTCAAAAACATTGGCACCCTGAGGGTTGATATGACCTCTGCTGTTGCGAACCCTCGTAAAACCATATGAGTACGATACTCTATATGTGAAATGTTAGTCCAAAGACAACTCCATAAGGGATGGTTCTCTGCCAAAAGTCACAGCGTACCATTCTTGGTCCTTGATATTCTTTACTTATTACAGCCCTTATACCACCTTGGCCTATAACTACATTTTCTTCCATTCCTTCCAATCTGCTGCTTTTCTACTCCACTGGTGTGTTTAACGGCTGCATATGCTCTTACCACCAGGATGCTCTATCCACACTATACGACGAGCTCTGTCAGCTTCCATTGTTATCCATTTTTTATAGTTAATAAATCTTCATTCTTGTGCAAATCCTTCAATTCTGTATTTTTATGAGACCTGTAAATGCCCTTTTTTCACCCCAGGCCAAAAAAATACCTCAAACATCTTTATTTTTTCCAGCAGTTCACTCTTTTTTTTTTCTGCTATTGAGCGTCCATATTTTTGATTCGTATGGGACTACTGGTAAATGGTTTGGATGTTCTGGACAGAAATTAATTTTGGAATGTCTTCTTTAATGCTCCCAAGCAATTATTTTCTGCTGCTAACCTACTGTTTATATTGTGTATACCTCATTGTTTTGGGATCAGGAGTTCAAGATAAGATACTTAAATTGATTTACACCTTTGTACGGGTTTCATTCACCTTACATTTCTGTACTTAGTTTTGTCTTCATTAATTTATTTTTGTGAAATTGCACCACCAATTAAGCCAATGTTTATTAGAAACTCCTAAGAGACAATTATTTTGGCTAATGTATAATTTAGTCATTTTAATACCTTTCCAGGGATTGCAATCAGCTTTAGGCCCTTATTAAGCCCTAGCTAGAACATTTGTAATCAATCGTGGTGATGTCCCTTGTCATTTTCATAACATTTTTCTAGAACCATCTTCATAGTAAAAATATCTATCTCTGATCTTTTGTGTAATACACATTGTAAGTGCCACCGATGCAACCCTCTTATTAATGATTATTCAGAAATCGTGAGATGCAGTCTGTGAGATGTAGGTTTCAGAAAAACATTTTCTTTATCGTGCCAACGTTTCAATTTTTATTGAGATCATCTTCAGAGCCTGGGATTTACAAACATTGTTTAAATTTAACAACGATGTGGAAAAAAGTGAATTTATACAACGCAAATAAATATTTTTTTATATTCAATCAAAGTATTTCTACTCACTCAGTGTTTGTTTTCTGCATAATCGTGCCATTCTTGCGTGTCGTGTTGAGAGTGCCAGTGAAATATTGCTGTTTTATGTTTATATACATTAGATTTTGAAGGGGTGGGGAAGGAAGTCGGTATAGAAAGACAAACACCCCTCTTATTAATACTGACAGTATTTTATATGAGAATAATTTGTACATTTTCATCAGTTTTTCTTTTTATAGATGGGGCAAATTAAGGCAGTTGGCCACGCTCTCAGAATTTCCTCTCGCATTCATGCTTTAAGAATCAAGGAGTATAATTCTTCCTGGGTGATATTCTTTAATGCATTGTAAAAATATTAAAAATCGGCATAAAGGGACAATGCTACAGCGTCATAATGAAAAAAAATTGTACTGGCCTGTGACGACCGACTTATTGACCGAAAACAACAGCATTCTGAAAAAAAACCCTTAACGAACTTGATGAACCATTACCTCTCTCCCTCCCTCCAAAACCTTTCTCCCCTAAAGAAGTCAAGCAGGCCATCCTAAACCTTTACAAAAAGAAATGTCCAGGTTACGACCTAATCACTCCCATTTTCCTATCCCATCATCCTAGCCCAACTACCTAAAAAAGCCATTATCTTTACAAACTACCTATTCAACGCTGTCCTACGTACAACCCAATTCCCCACCTGTTGGAAATTTTCTTCCATCAGGATGCTCCCAAAACCTAAGAAACCAAATCACCTTCCTAGCTCCTACCGACCCATCAGTCTTTTGCCCATTATTGGCAAAATACTGGAAAAGCTCCTATTGAACCGCTTGACCAAGGAAATTCCTACAAACACAATTCCCCATCACCAATTCGGCTTTTGGAGTTGCCACTCAACTGTACAACAAGCACATCGCATAATCGATGTTATTTCCACATCCCTTGAACTAAAATAGTATTGCCCGGGTGTGTTCTTGGATATACACCAAGCCTATGACCGAGTATGGCACTCTGGGCTGCTGTGGAAGCTCAAGAACATCCTACCAGCAACCTATTACCTTACAATCGTTACTTCCAAGTATCCCACAAAAATTCATTGTCTCCTATCCATCCTATTCTTGCAGGTGTCCCACAAGGCAGCATGCTCGCTCCTTTCCTTTATTCAATTTATACCTCTGACCTTCCTAGGCAACCTAACCTAACACTATCACCTTCACCTTTGCCGATGATATCGCAATCCTTTCTCCTGATAAAGATCCCTCACTGCTTCCCATAATCTTCAAAATCAACTAAACACCCTAGAATGCTGGCCACGTCGGTGGAGAATCAAGATCAACGAAACTAAATCAACGAACACAATATTTACTCTAAACAAGAAAACGTTCCCATCCCAATTGCGAACCATGTACGATACCTCGGACTCTACCTGGACAAACGACTGACGTGGAACCCCCCATACGCGACTTAAGCGCACAGACTGTAATATACAATTTTTCATGCTTAAACGACTACTCGACAGACGATCAAAACTCTCACTAACAAACAAGAGAAAACTACATTGCCCTCCTGGCCCCCATTTGGACATACGGACTTGAACTTTATGGTACTGCTAAGCGTTCCAACCTTAATCGAATCCAATCCCTTCAATCTAAAATCCTCAGAACAATAGTACAAGCCCCTTTCTATATATCCAATCACACCATCCATACTGACCTAAATGTCCCTTTTGTTACCGAGCTAGCCCAATCCCGTTAAAAAACGTTCCATTCCAAACTACTCCATCATCCGAACCCTTTCGTCAAAAACCTGTCATCAAAAAAAAAAAACAAAAAAAACCTGCAATGGCTGAATACCTGATGATGCCTTCATCTATTGAGAGCAATTATGAACAAAAGAATTTTCAGTGAAATCAGTAGTAACTTAAATGTTAAAAACCAGTTCTTGCCTTTTTTTCTTCTAATATTGAAATATTACATGCAGCACAGCTGGTGTTATAGTGGGCAGCCAGTCAGATGTATGTAGTAAAAGAGGTCAGGCAGCAGCAAGGCCAGTGTTTAAATTGCAATTTGGTCATTAAAATCAATAAAATCAAATATATTTTCACTAAATGAAATTATGGGGGCTTTACAAAAAAGATTATAATATGCAAAAACTTTTATTTAACAAAACAAAAACACAAAAAATACAATTTATGTAATATCACAAGTGAAATGTGATGGGATGAATTTTACGGAGGAACTGGCTTTACAGAAGGATTTGTGTAACTTTTGACTTTCCCCTGAAACAAACGATTTTATAAAATTCAAAACCGACTGAATATTATAAGTACAATACTCACTTATGGGTCCTTTCCAATTTATAATAATGGTCTAAGTGACCGACCTTGGACAAAATGTTTAGGAAACTTTGATCGTGGGTAATCACAATCAGTTGAAAATTCCTTCTGTTGCATTGTGTCCTAACAACTCTAGAAACAAATTAAAAAATTAAAATTGTTTATCGTTTTAAATAAATGATGCTTACTCTGCCAGAGCTTCGCTGAGCTTGATTATGTTCTGATGGTCAAGATTCGTAGTCGGCTCATCGAGAGCTAGAACTCCACAGGTCGAGCTAAACGTTTCAGCAAGAGCGATTCTTATTATAAGCGAGGCCAGGACTTTCTGACCAGCGCTGCATCTCCCCCGCATATCAAGTTCGGTTCCGTTTTTCACCTGAACGACCCTGTATTTGAACTGCCTACGCTTCTCAGCTGTCGAATTACACAAAAAAATCATGAAAATGAAAATTTGTCGATTGTAAAATTTATAATAAACCTGATGCGGATTGATCAGCTTCTGCTTTGATTTCAATCGTGTCGATATCATTACCGCAGTAAATTTTCCTCCAAAGCTCTTTTATCACTGAATTGATATGCTCGATTCTTTTATGATGATAACTCATCATGGCCCAATCAAGTGCCTTGTAGTAAATGTTCAAATCATTGGAAACTTTTCTAAATACCTAAGAATTAAAGAAATAATAAAATTTTCAAAAAACAAAATGGTTTTAATTCTACTACCTCTACTTCGATCACTTTTTCACGATAGTTCTTATCGGCGTTTTTATAATGCGGCCTGTCTAATTCTTTCTTTATCGTTTCGATGTTCCTTTCAAGTTCTCTTTTACTCCCTTCTGCCTCTGCTTTCTGAAACGAAGCATTGAACAAAACAAAAATTCAAAATCAAACATGTTTTCAGTACCTCTTTGATCAATCGTTGAGCAGCTTCGTTACATTTCTGTTTCTCTTCGTTTATAGTCTTGAAATCAAGGTTGCCGATTTGTAGGTTCAACTTCTGTACGCTTTCTTTCAATTCTTTTTCTTCTGTGAGTTTTTCTCTGAGTTTCAAATTGTCATCCAACTCCCTTTGTCTCACCTGAAACATCACAATAACACTAATAAAGTTGTTATTGGTTTTAATTAATTTTTTATTAACCGTATGGGAAGATAGGTCGGTCTTTAGTTTATCCTTTTGATCAGCTAGAGATATTTTTTTCAGGGATAGAGTATCATGCTCTTTTTGTAAGCTGGCAAGATTTTTCTGCGAGGTTTCGAGTTTTTTGGCGCCTCCTGACATTTCGTATTCAAGGATGGACTGGTGTTCATTCCTCAACTCTCTGTATCTTTGTTCTATTTCCTTTAACTAAAAAATAAAATTTTTCTTTAACAAATTCACATTCTTATTTATTACCATCTGTCAATTTTATACCCTAGATGATTTTAAATCGACTGCGGAGAGATTGGAAGTTTCTAAATTTTTCATCTGCCTCAAGTACTGATCCAACTTTCTCGTGTACATCGCCATGTTCTCATTGTTTTTTTCTATTTCAGTCTGCAAGGTTATTTCCAAGCTTTCGAGCTCTTCCCTTTTCTCGGCGAGCTGTGCCCTCATTTGGACGTTCCCGCTGATTTTTAACTGTTGGCTTTGTATGGCATTCTTCTGCTCTTGAAGTTTGTTCTTTTTCACGTTGATGTCCATCTTCTTGTTTTTGAGGGACTCGAGAGTTCTCCTTGAATTCTGTAACGACGTCCTTAGTTCCCTCTGCGCCTGGAGAGCATCGTCGAGCGAACGCTTCGTACCCGCTGGCATTTTGGCCGACAACTTTTGTATCTCTCTGTCCAGTTTCCTGCTCTCTGAAATGAGCTGTTCGAGCAGTACGATGTCGCTCTGCATACCCTTGGCCATCGCCTCATCACACTGGGGACCTTCGATCTCATTTGACAACAATATAATCGATTCTTTGAGTGCTAAAATTTTTTTTTCCGACTTCCTCACTTCTTCCCTAAAATAACATTTTAATAATATCTACAGACAAAAAATAAAAAAATAAAAACATACTCGAGGGTAGGAATTTCAGTACTTTTCATCACAGACAATTTTTCATATTTTGGTTTCAATTGTAACAAACTGTTGTACTTTTCCTGACAGGCGTTTAAATTATTTTTGTTCTCTCTCAACTTCGTAGGAACCTCTTTAACTTTAATAGATAACTATAAAATAATATATTAAACATTAATATCTTAGCCTACTCATAATTGTGAAAAATATGATTAATAAAACAAATCCACGGCAGTAAAACAACATTTTGAAATACCTCGTTAATGATTGATGTGACTTCATTTTCAGCTGTAAATTCTCTATTGCAAAGTGGACAGCACGGATCTCGCTCTTGCAACTTTTGTACATATTTTCGGAACATGAATTCCGAAGACGATAAATTTCCCTTTTGATCCTGAAAATAAATAAGTATAACAACTTTTGTTTTTTAAAATATGGCAAAGTTGTTTGTTGATATTGTTTTATTATACCTGGAGGTCTTGGAGTTTTTGAGCCATTTCCGAGAGGTAGCTGTCGTAATCCTGGCCGTTGCAGGCCTGGCTTATGGAAAACTGATCCGCTTCCAGTGTCTGCTTGGCCAATTTGAGCTTTTCGTTTAAATGCTTCTGCTCGGCCTCCTTACCAGCGAGTTCTTTTTCTTTCGTCTTCAACTCTTCTGTCTTTGTCTTAATTTCATCTGCCTAAGATTGAAATATTTTATAGAAAACCAATCTGAATGAATTACCTTTCTTTTAAATTTACCAGCTTGTCTAAACAGGCTTCTAACTGAAATTTTATCCCTTGCTCTGGCACATCAGATAAAAGATGTTTAAGTGCTTTTTCATGACGACTTTTCCTTTAATACATTTAAAAAAATATAATAATGTAACTCATAATGAAATTTATTCCTTACATTTTTTTTATTTCGGCGTCTTTCACCGCCTTGGCTGGTTTGCTTATATCTAGCTGAGCCTGTATGGAAGTGAGAGATTGCAGGCTCTGAATTTCTCGTTCCAGCATAGCCATTTCGTCTTCCAGCCTGTAAAATGAAGATTCAATGTCTTTCCAGCATAATTAAATCATAATGCTTACTTTTCTTTAGCCTTGTCAGCATTGTTTATTTCTACATCTATGTCTTGACCGCTGCTGTTATTATTTAAAGCCTCTATCTCTTTTTTAACCCTATCAAGTTTATTTTGCAGCTCGCCTAACATGTCGGCAGATTGGTCAGCCTGAAAATATGTTATTTAAAAGACTAAAAAATGTCTTGAAAGAATGTTTAAAAACCTCAAAAATGTCTTCTTTGACTTTCTGAAGTTCTTTTTTGTTTGAGTCTAACTGTTTTTTCTGGTTGACTATATTCTGATCAATTTTAGCCTTTTCTTCTCGCATGCTGTCTATTTCAGACTGAAGCTCAGAAACTTTGCGCTTCTGTTCCTCCTTCAATTTTTTAATTTGATCTTCTAGTTCAGACATGCACTGTTCGACCGAATAGAACACCCGTTGGATTTCGTCTGACTGGGAAAGCTGTGAAATGGTCGTTGCTGAAAGAATACGAAAAAATTTATTATTGCATTTCTCGATTTGTTTTATTTTTTAATTTACTTATGTCCAAATCTTCTGAGAGAGCGAGAATTGATTTGTTCCGTTTCTCAAGCTTCTCTTTATTCTTTTCCATATCCCTGAGTAGTTGGCCAATTTTGAACTGCTCATCATTCATAAACTGTTGGTTTTTCTTCATTTCCTCTACTAACTCTTCTTCTTGCCTTTCAACCTCTTCGAGATGTTCTTCTTTTTCACTAAAAAAGAAATTTATGTATTAAAATTTTAATCAATCTTTCAAATGTACTTAAAGCAATAAATGTGATACCCTTTTTCTTGTTCAAAATTACTGATGGCCTCTTTCAGCTGTTCAATCGTCCCTTTGAATTCATGTTGAATCTGTTTTTTGTATTCTGCAATCGTCACTCTCACGCCTTGTAATTTTGTCCTCTGCGTCTCTTGTTCTGTCTTCAAATCAGCGATTTGATCTTCCTTGATTGCAAGTTCCTTTAAACGGTCTTAAAAAAAAGTTTCATTACATATTTAATATAAAAAATAACAAATAAAATATTTACTTTTGATAGGATTCAGGCTTGCTTCAAATGCATCCAATTTATTTTTATATTCGAAAAGTCTGCCTTGGACGCTCTCAAGATCGATCCTTTTCTGAGCAACATCTTTCGTCGTCTGCGACAAACTTTCGACGTCCCTATTTAACAGTTTTTCATCTAAAAACGAATACAAGAGAGTTAAAATTTAAATATATTAAGTAGGAAGCAATAAATACCTTGAACGTATTGTTTCCTGAGGTTCTTCACCTGGTCAAGGCACTTAGTGTATTTAGTTTGGCCGAATATCTCATCAAAATGAGCTTTTACTTTAGTGTCTTCATCTAAAGGCCTTTAGATTTTTTTAAAAATAATTAGTTTTTTTTTTTAAATAACAGACATATCTGAGAACAAACCAGTTAGAATCTTCCTGATGGCAAAGTAGGACATTGCTGAGTACAGCTTTGCTCACTCCAAGCGCTTGGCACATTTCTTGATCAATGTCGGCACACTTGCCACTTATTGTAGTCCACTAGATTTAAAATAATATAATATACAGCATTAATAATTAATTTGTTGAAAAAAAATTAAAAAAATACAAACTGTATTGTCATCAGCTTTGCGGTTGATTGCCTGATCGATGCGTTTGAACTCAGTCTTTCTTAACTTTTGGGAAGCAGATACTATACGCGTTACGCTCAAAGTCTTTCCGTTTAAGTCTTTCAACTGGAGTTTTACCTGACCTTTAACCTATCAAGATAAAAAAGTCATCACTTTTTCCATTCTCTACACTAGTAATTGTATAAATTATATTATAATACACTTTTTTTCATGGAATGAGTATCTGGTTTGTCTAGAATTCATAGTACTATGGTTACAAAATGTTAATTCCCCACCCCCCTCAGCCACCACCCCGGTGCCATACCTTGGGGAGACCCTATACCGGTGGACTATGCCAAACTAATAACTGGGAGTGTGAAATATAAAAAAGGTAGAAATGCATGAGCTTATAAAGGTCTGAAATATATCATTGGCGCACTAAATATTTAATCTTTTTAAAAAGATAGTTCCTACTCATAGTCTGTTGTTTTCAACAATTTGGATTGCAAGTTTTTAAAATAGAATAGAATAGAATAATTTTTATTTTGTTCACAAGTTTATTGTACAAACGTCACTAAATAAATATACAATAATAAATATAAATACAATTCATTACTTTACGTTCTTTACAACGTCCTTGAATTCATCCTTGTGGTATATATGATTTTCTATTATAACTTTTTTATAAATGTTATGAATTCATTAATTAGTAACAATTTTATTATATTGAGGAGCATGTTGTATGCCCTAATGGTACTCTTTTCTGGGCTTGTTTTTCCACTGAACAGAAAGGGATTACTAAATTATTATAATTTCTAGGATTTATCTTGTTGTATCGGTGAGTCTCAATAACATGGCTTTCCTTAATATACTTTAGATTGGAGTAAATGTACAGAGCCAGGTACGATCAAAACTTTCAGCTCCTTAGCTAGTGGATTACTATGATCCTTCGGTTTTTTCTTAAATATTGTTTTTAATGTGTGGTGTTTAGTGACCATTAACCAATGATTATTTGGAGATCGTGAGATGCGGTCTGGTGTGATGTAGGTTTTAGAAAAACATTTTCTTTATCATGCCAACGATTCGATCTTTATTGAGATCATCTTCAGGGCTCAAAGTGTTTTGTTTTCCATGAAGATGTGTCATTCTTGTGTCACTCACTCTCAACACGACAGACAAAAACATACATCACACCACACTGCACCTCATGATCTCCAAATAATCATTGTTCTTCATGCTTTTTTTTTAGCGATTTTTAGTATTTTTTCTGTCACCTTCCCCAAATCTTATGCTATAATTTACAATTACTTGAAATAGTAATAAACGTACAGTTCGTAGTGTACAGCGAGATTTTTTAATTTGTTTAGTATAAAACAGACCAGGGCGAGTTTTCTGCATACATAGTCAATAAGATGATGCCATTTAAGGTTATTTAATACAAAACCTAGAAAGTTTACAGTTTTTTGCTTTAATTGTTGTTTCAATATCATAACTGATGAATTGATTTTTATTTACATTTAGGAACACAGTTGGGAGTTAGCGTAGAAATAATAGTATTCATTTAATACTAAAAAATAGAGGTCCTAAAATGGATCCCTGAGGTACCATATCTGACCACTTCATGACTACATTCCATTAATTATTTCATTCTGTTTCCTGTTTTTTTAAAGAAATTTTCACAAAATTGTAGTGATTTATCCCAGATCCCAAAGTGGTGTAACTTTTCCAACAGAATTGTACGATTAACTATGTCAAACGTCCTAGATAGATCACACAGATAGATAAATATATCACAGAATACAACAAACTGTAAGTAGGGACTATCTTTTTAAAAAGATTAAACAATATACTCCAACATTTATCATTTCTACCACTACATATTTTTCCGTAGTCAATTTTATTAAACGTACCAATGGGGCTAATTTTTATTCTGATTGTTTATAGTGGGCTCCATTATCCAAAACTCAATTTATTACAATCAATTAGCCGATAACCAATCGTCTGACAGAGTTAGACTGCCCGCACATGAGGCTAATCAAAAATTTGTTTATGATGCAAACCATCTTGATTTTGTGGAACTCCATAAGATGATGGGTAGGAAATAAATTCTTTTTATTATTATTTGAGGTATTTATTATTTGAGCACATTTTGGTCTAATATTTTTGTAATAAGTAATGTATACTATCACCCCTTACAATTTGGGGATGACTCTTTCGGAGATATTCCGAAAGATGAATGGGGCATATATTCAATTTGAACTGGAAAAAACAGATCAGGTGTGTTCCAAATTTGAAGCCTTTTGCTTGAGCTAGCACCAATATTTAGAAGTAATTGTATAATAATTTAGTTCTCACAAGGGTGAGTTGAGTGATTACGTTGTGTGGTTGTATGAATACAGGTGGAACCTAGAGTGTAGAATAATTAAAAGATTTTATTCATCCTATGTTACAATTTTGGCCTTGTAAATATNCCTATCAACCTCCTAATTCCCCTCCTTGAGTTAGAGAATAGCCATTTCGATTCTTTTGGTTTGATTTCCTTCAGAAACTCCTTCGATTGCCTATGTCCGGGGGACAGATTCCATTCCTTAAGGAATTGTTTCATGCCCCAGCAATTAATACTCTCTTTCGCTGTGCTTATAGGGTGGGGTAATACCGGTGGCCCGACAAACGCAGTATTTGAGCCTTCTTTGGCCAGGCTGTCCGCCTCTTCATTGCCATAGTGCCCCTTATGAGCTGGTATCCATATGAGGGTTACCCTATTCTCGTACCTGGTAGTAATCCTATTAATAAGTTCAACGGTTTCTTCCACCAGCCTAGATGTTGATAGCACTTTTTGTAATGACTTAAGACTGGCCTGACTGTCGGAAAAAATTCTAATATCTTTTCCCTTAACCTTGTTATCCATGAGTGTTCTGCAGTAAACATTGATGGCCCAGACCTCCGCCTGAAAGACGGAGATGTTATTACCAAGAGGGGAGGAGATACTGATCCCTAATTTAGGTATATGTATTCCAGCACCGCTTCCCTTGTCTTTAATGAGTGAGCAGTGTTGTACCCTTATTTGTTTGAAAGAACAATGTCACAATATATATGTATAAGTAATAATTCATAATCTTCAGCGACTTTTTTTATATTAAGTGGTTTGAAGGTTTTTTCATTCTTATAAGTTCAGAAATTTATGTCTGGATGACTATGGACTTGGCGAGTAGTCTGTCAAGAAGAATAAAAGTCACTAAGATGATCTACATTAGACCAAAACGTATTTTATGTATTAAATGCCTATTGTGGAAAAGGCAATTTATTTCCTACACATCAGCCTACTCAAAATTGATCAAATTCAGTAGTTTCTTCGGTGACATCAATTTTTGACTTTTTTCGTTCAGTGAAGAACCTGTCATATTACTGTATGGTATGGTAGAAAAGGATACTAGGAAGCGGGGTTTGCACTCCCCAGGCACTGCGGCCTTCTGGCTTATTGTACCTTCCTAGTTCCTTAGTTCAGTGCAATAGACTCAATCCTTCTTCTTAGAAGTATCAGGTCATTGACTGTCGCTGCTGCAATTTGATTCCCTAAGTTTTTNAGCAGTACTTTTGCCAGTCTCGGTGAGGGTTGTTTCATCATAAGTTTACTATGTCTAGCACCGCTCACTTCTCCTTTTGTTTTGTTTGGATCCATTCTGCGATGGAAGATTCTATATTTGTTTTTGTTATCCCAAGTATAGGTCCGGGGCCTATATATGGTCTTGCAGATCCTCCTCTGGCCAGTCTGTCTGCTTTATCGTTACCCAAAATTCCCCTGTGCCCTGGCACCCAAGATATCATCAGGTTGTTGTGTTCCCCCAGTTTTGGAGATTTTAGATGCATTCATGGACTAATTTTGATGTGATTCTTTTACATGCTAATGCTTTAATGGCTGCTTGGCTATCTGATCTTATGAGGATTTTTTTGTCAGTGTAACCTCTTTTAAGATTTTCCAGAGCACAAGCATTGATGGCATGTATTTCTGCTTGAAAGACCGAAGTGTACTTCCCTAATGAGTATGACTGCTCATGTGTTGGGCTTGTACAGAAAACGCCTAATCCGGTTCCTTCATTTGTTTTGGAGCCATCTGTATACCATATCATTGTATCTGATGCTCTGTCATATTACTGTACTATCAATGCTACAGAAGAGAAAGAATACAAAGAATATTTTGCATTCGTATGCTATAAATTATTCAAGACTGTTTGAACTGTTAAAATGGTTCGGCTGGCTCGTCTCCAAAGAATTCAATCACACCAGTTCATCGTTGGAATCATTGACCAAGCTGATGGGCTATTGACCAACCTTGAACTACCCACACCTTTAAAGCAGTCTAAAAACGGAGCAACACAAAATAAACAAAAATAATATATCAGTAGTCACCTAAGTCACTCATTAGTGACGCAGATCCACACATGAAGCTACTCAAAAAAGATCAAAATGAGTAGTTTGTTCAGTGAAGTCAAAGAATTATCACCATCCCTGGTAAATATGATGACAGTAATCTCAGTGATGAATCAGACAATAAAGCTATCACATAACTGTACTATCATCTCTATTGAAGGGAAAAAAACAGATTTTGTGTTTATGCATCTTTCCAACTTCATGCTTTTTCAGAAAGCGCAGAGTTTCATAAAACAGGATGCTTTTCAACTCCTGGTGAAATATAATCACCTGTTGATCGTTGTTTTGAAAATTATCCAAAACCGCAACTTCAGTCGATAGTGACTCGGCAGCTTAACTGCTGTGTCTCATTCAGTCACACTGAACGTGACTCGTTCCGGACTGTAAGTCGTGTCATTGATTAGTTTCTTTTGAGTAGCTCCGTGTGCAGACCCGATTGTGGAATTGTAACGATCAGTGCAAGATTTGACAAATGTTGATTTTTATTTTACAGCCTTGAGGCGTTGTACTCCATGCCGGTTATATCATTGACTGATGGTACCTCGTGTACATCTTGACAGCGCAGATCTGTCAAATCGTGTTGTCATTTTTATTCAAACCACTTGTTCATGTTTGCTTTTATCGGCCGACCTTCTTAGGACATAGGATCGTTTTTTAATCTAAGTCATACCTCCATAGACCCTGAAAGTTTTGGGTCGTGTACGAAGTTGGCGTTGCTGCTCTTGAGGCCGGCCGGTAGTTCGCCGCAGGTCGCGAACTTGATCGCCTCGATCAAAGTCGTCTTCCCGCATCCGTTCTCGCCCAGGATGAGGGTCAAAGGCGATGAGAACTTAATCAAGCCCGCGTCTTCTTTTTCGGGGCCGAAGCTCCTGATGCCTTGCACGTACAGCTTCTCTAGGGACGACATGCCTCAGAGAGTCAGAGCACTACTATCCTGCATTCGCCTGTTACCTTTCTCAATTTGCAAAAAGCCCGGGAAAACGCTGATAAGCATGAGAAATATTTAAATACTTTTGACCTTTTTGTTAGTGATTTATGACAATTGTGCATTTCTTATTTATTACTGATAAAGCAATTTAAAACATCAGAGAATACCTCAAGTCGGCCTTACTGACAAGACTGTCAAGAGATGGACTTACGCCATTGTGAGACCTACTTGCCTAATATACTTTTTATTCATTTTATTTTAATTTAAAGATACAAATAGGGCTTTAAGCCCCTTACATGTACATAGCTTAGAAATAAACTTAATTTTATAAGCATAATAGTAAGTAAAATAATAATAACAGCATAAAATATAAAATATACAAAACAATAATTTGTGATATGAATCATGCTCTCTGTCTTATGTCGAATTCTTTGACAAACCAGAAATCACATAAAACATGCTTTATGTAAGAAAAATGTTTCTATCACTCTAATATAGGTTCAATGTGAAATGATTTATTGAGACAATTGTTTTCGATTAAATATACTTTTAAAAGGGTCGCGCCAATAATTTGTACTGGTAATTTGTGATGAAGAAGGATCAATCAGTTGAATGTTGTTAGAACCCTTTGTACAATGCAAACTTGGCTAATTCCACCAAAATGGCTCGCCATTTTCTTGGACAAGCATATCATGTCTTTTGATACAGGTGATATTGGGTTGTCCGGAAAATAATGCAGGATTTTGGTATTAAACAAAAAAAAAGAAACTAGTTACTTTAAAGCAATGTTCTTTAATCAAAATAATTTCCCANCATACAAATGAGTAATCCTGTAAACGTAAACAGAATATTTTATATAGATTTTTTTTAATGAAAACTTAAAATCCTGCATTATTTTCCGGACAACCCAATAGTAAAAGCGATGATGATGAGGATAATAGGAAGCGGGGTTTGTGCCCCCCAAGCACAGCAACCTTCTGGCTTGTACATTTCTAGTTCTCTGTTCAGTGCAATAGCTCAATCCTTCTCCTTAGAAGAATCAGGCCATTGACTGTCACTGCTACAATTTCATTCCCTAGGTTTTTTTCTGTATGCTAGATTAAATTTCCATTGAGATGTTGCTTAGGGATGGTTGATAGATGTTGCTTTGCATTTGAAGATGACATCAGTGGATGTTTCCACCTCCTCATTACATAATCTGCAGATAGGATCATCGTTACATATGCCCATGTTGTGTACGTGTTTTCTCAGATGCCAGTCACCGGTTAATGGTTCTATAACTATTCTGCAGCAGTGAGTTTGCCAGTCTTGGTGAAGGTTGTTTTAACATAAGTTTACTGTGTCTAGCACTGCTAGAGTTTATACATTTCTTTTGTTTTATTTGGATTTATTCTGCGATGGAGAATTCTGTATTTGTTTTTGTTATCCCAAGCATAGGTTCAGGGCATATGTATAACCTTACAGATTCCCCTCTGGCCAGGGTGTACTCCTTTGAGACCTTGCACCCAATATATCTGTCTGTTGTGACTTTATAGGATGTGAAGTATGTTTCCGGGATCTTTGATACAGGTACAATTTCAATGCTAAAAGTAAATTTATAGTTGTACACATTGCTATGTACATCATGTGAAAATAATTTTTTATGTTATCATTTTATTGGAAGAACTTTTTTTAATTAATAAAGACTGGGATTTGTTAGGGTTTAAAAGAATGCTGTTATTACTTGACCATTGATTGAAAGAAAGGATGAATGAGATGTCGCTTGTAAGAAGTTGAAGCTGAGTGTACTCAGTGTATATGAAATGGGGAGAACAAGAACTAATGGAAGATCATTTAGGAACATGGAAAAGAGTAAAGGACCAAGAATAGTCCCTTGGGGCACACCAACTGAAATTGAGAGGGAAGATTAGTTAGAATTTGATACTTTAAACTCTCTGACAATTTAGTAGCAGTGAAAGAAATCTTGAATAAAACTTTTCAAATATGCAAATTTTGATTTATAGAACCAAACATATTGGAAAAATCAAGTAGAACAATAATAATACTACTATTATCAATGCTTAAGTGGATATCATGAGATTTTGAGAACGGTTGTCACAACTATGAAATTTTAGAAAGCCAGATTGAAAAGGGGATATAATGGCATGGGGTCAATAAATTAGGATATTTGTTTAAATAAAATATCAAATGTTTTAGATAGTGATGGAAGAATTCTATTGAGCAGTATTCACTAGCACAGGTTGGTTTAGGTTTCTTGGGTAAAGCAACTATTAGCTTAAAAAACTATGGTTTAAATGAAATAAGATTGGAACCTGTAGCATTAAAGTTAATTGAAAGGATAGCTTCTAAAACATTTTCTTGGGTAATATTTGAAAAGCTAAAGGACCATTTTCAGGGGTCTGGATGAGCAGGAAATGGAGTTTTAGTTTGGAGAGAAGAGGATTTGAAAGTCAAAAATGTGTTAAATTCATTAACAAAGACCACTAATTGCAAAGAAATTTTTTATGTTTTTAAGTGTTAAACCATTTACCCATAAAACCACCATGAAAATTAATTGTAAAAAATTAAACATATACAAGTTTTCTTTTGCTAACCAACAGATGGCAGTACAATAATTATTAGAAGAACTCTTATTGACCTCCTGCCAATTCCTGGTCTCCTTGTACAAATACCTCACAAGTTCTTGTAATAAAAATGCTTGCTTCTTTCTAGCTACTTGCTCTACTTGTTTGAAATTATATCGTTCCTGGTTTCCTGATACAAATTGCTCAGGTTGTTCTGTGGCAAGTCTCTCGGTTGAGGAATTCATGAGTAAGCAAGCAAACAATGTCCCATTCTTAGGCTTGCCAACACGGTTTCCTCTTACTTTTGAACAATCAAGAGTTACAGTAAAAACGTTTATAGGTTTTTTCTGTGAAATAGATTGTAAAAAGTAAGAAAAGTAATTCCTGTCATACAAGAGAGCTTTATTACTGGTTGGATGTTGTGGATGAGGGGTCAAACCACTACAATAATTTCTACATATAATTCTTGACTAAAAATTCATGGGTGGGATTCGAACCCAGGGCTGTTAGTGTGGCAAATACGATTGCCTTAACCACTCGATCAATATGGAACCCTGTGAAATAGATTGTTTTATGATATTAAAAACAATATATACAAAAAAAGGAAGTGAATATTTGAGGGAAAAGACACATTTCATTTACAGATATTTTATGCTTCTTATCAAATCATGATCTTTTTATTTGTATTACAGTTAACACAGACTATAATTTACAATATCAAGTGTAAATAATATACATACTACACCAAGATCATTTTATTTATTTTTTTTACGTAAAAATACATTCTGGGCATAAATGATTTTTTTGATACGTGAAATTTGCGTTCCACTTTAATAGATTGTTTTCCAAATGGAATTTAATCATGGCCGGATGGTTGAAAAATCCAGGGTTAGCTTTGAAATTTGAAGCTAGGATGCAAAAGTTCTAAAGCAGCTGGTAAAAATATATATTTAATTATTTTATTACCATACGCGATTAATTATGATAGCTTTTCCCTGAAACAATGGTCATAACTGCATCATATGCCATACACTTTATATGTATACCTAATTCTATATTGGAAGGACTGGACTGTTCACCATGCTTGAAATAAAAAAATCTATTTTTAAGAAAAATTTAATTGACAATTACTAACAATAAACCTTTATTATGGCATTTGTTGACATGGCATTAGAACATTGCTTTTCAAAGCTTTTGTATTTTTGATTAATTCATATTTATTCACATGGTTTGAATTTTTTTTTCTTGCATATTTTCATTACTGAAGACGACCTACTTCAATATTATTGTTCTTCGTATATTACTACTTTTTTCCCATTGTCTATCAATTGTACATAAGAGGAATGCGATGAAAATAGCTAGATGTGATTCTTCAGCACTCGCATAAATTTTATTCGAACAAATATTTTTGTAAATACACACTCTTGCATCAAGTGTTTTGGCTTTTCTTCTCTGTTAGATAAATATTTGATGACACATGACAATTTGAAATTAAATGGTCTGAAATGATTTTTAATTATTGTTTATTTATTTACAATAGGCGTGAAATACATGATTTCTAGGCTAGTCTATTCTGTTTCATCACCACTTCCTGCACTGCTTCTCGTGTCATCTGAATCGCCGTCCTTTGTCTCTTGCGCCAGTTCATCCTTGACCTTATTTTCCTCCCTCTTATCTTGCTTTTTATCTTCTTTTTCTAAAAAGTTTTCCCATTTCTTTAACCTATTATTGATTTCTGCTTCTGTCTCTGCAATCCTGTGATAAGAGGGAAAAATGTTTTATTTGTTTATTTTTTCAAATATGTTTAATTGGTTACTTGTATTTTGTTTTGCCATCCCAGGTTTCAGCAACGATCTGCCTTTTCCCAAACCATCTGCCGTTAAGCAATTGGACGCAAGCGTCTGCGGCTTCGGCCTCTTTGAAATTGATCTGCGCCACACCTTCCGGGTGTTTCTAAAAAATTGCCAAAATTAAAGAAGCAGAATTACAAAAACAAATCTGTCTATTTGAAAACAACATACATCATATAAAACAATTTTTCTGACGTCTCCACACTTAATGCATTCCTCCCTAAGGTCCTGCTGGTATTCGAGAATGAGCCCAACGTCTTCATCGAAAATAGCCGGGTCGAAAAGGTTTTTGACTATAACAATACGTTCGTGCTTTGAACGTTCTCCTCTCATTTTTTCAGGCCTCCAGTCAAATAACCTGGACAGATTTCGATAATGAAGAGCAATGGTATTAAAAATATTTCCATTACATACTTTTCTTGCATTTTCTTTATTTTGTCCTTTTCCTTCCTTCTTCTCTTCTTCGGTTTTAACGATGGATCGTATGCATCCCCTTTCATCGTGAATCTCGCTCTTTCCACCTTGATCTTTTTCCCTTTGAATTCGTATCCATCGAGAAGGTTCAATGCCAATGCTACAGACTCAACCTAAAAGGAAAAAAAAATCATCGTTACGCATTATGATATAAACCCTTTTGAACAAACAGTTAATCTTTGGATTCATATTACACAATCAAAACAGATTATTTCATGTTATTTTATAGTTAAAACATCTCTACCTTAGAATCTTTACTGTAGAAAAATATGACTTCCATCATTCTCTAACACAACAGATCAGAATAAACCATAATGATCCAAATGTAAACAAAAGTTAAATATACTTGATTATTTGATGGAAATCAACTATGATGATTTTAAAACAAAAAACAGTTATTAGTTTAAGCATACTGCAAAAACTGACTGACGTGGATGAGCATCAAAACAATATAATTTTAGTTATATTTCATCATTGCTATATTTTATATTTTTCTATCTTCCATCCTACTATCCTATTTGTCTTGATCACTTTTACACCCTATAGACCAATGAGATCTTTGAAGTTGAAGATTGTCATCTAAAATCTCTACATCAACTGAATCTCATTGTCAATATTAATTCCAGGCATGGTTTCCTTTTATTTTTGCTCATACACCTCAACGTACCTGGAGACCCAATGGATAACACGGATTCATACATGGAATAAATAATGCAAACATAAGGGGTTCAGAAGGCAACCTCGCTTAACACTGGCTGGGAATGGACGCTTGACCACTTCAAAAATGACATCAAGTATATGCGTATTCTGCAATCTATATGGTTGGATCTTGATAAAATATCAATTTTAAACAAAAATGTTTTAAAAAAAACGCCTTGCTGCAAGTGAACCGTGAGAATTGTTATTTCTAGGCCCGTTTTCTTTCCTGGAAATAGAGATGTACTATGAGAAGTGATGAGGTAATGTCGTGGGCTAGGCTCAACTGATTGGCATTGGAAAAAAAATCAAATTGTGTCAGCTCTTTTGACTCCTGTGTTACAAGCTTTCGTTTAAGTTCACGGCTAGCGATTAGGAATAATTTAATGACATAAGACACCCATTGTCTAATGTTGCACGGGAATTAATTGCCATATTCATTTCATCTCATGACCTAGAAGGAGGGGAGACATTTATCTGGCTTGAAAGTTTATACGTCAAAGGATACTTTTCAAGGACGATCTACCATAAATTCCTACGGCTTGTTATTGACAATGGCAGTTTTTTAATGGTCCGGCTATACTCGCTGTTCATACACGTGCGTTAGTTCTTTATCGTAGTTTTTTAAAATTTTAAATAATCTAATTTTCTTGCTGATTGTTGATTTTATAGATGCCTGCATATTCTCGGCGTAAAGACGAAATCCAACAACATCTTTTCAATCATTGTTATACTAAAGATGTTTCGTAGATAAAGTGAGATTGCGAGATAAGACGGACCACAAATTACTAAAACGAGGGAGGGAGAGAGAGAGAGAGAGAGAGAGAGAGAGAGAGAGAGAGAGAGAGAGAGAGACGGAGAAAAGTGAGAAGAGAAGAGAAAAGAAAGAGACTGAGGCAGAAGAAAAACAGTGAAAAAAGAAAAAGGGAGAGAAAACAGAAGGAGAAAAGTAAGAGAGAGAGAGAGCAGGGAATGTGGGAGGAAGAGAGAGCGAAAGAGAGAGAGGGAGAAAAGCGAGTGAGAGAGAGAGAGAGAAAAAAAAAAGAAACTGAGAAAAGTAAGAGAATAGAAGAGAAAAGCAAGAGAGTGAGGCAGAAGAAAAACAGAGAAAAAGAAAAAGGGAGAGAAAAGAGAGGGAGAAAAGTAAGAGAGAGAGAGGGGGGAATGTGAGAGGAAGAGAGAGCGAGAGAGAATGGAAGAGAGAGAGGGAGAAAAGCGAGTGAGAGAGAGAGAGAGAGAGAAGAAAGACGGTGAAAAGTGAGTGAGAGAGAGAAGAGAAGAGAAAAGAAAAGCAAGAGGGTGAGGCAGAAGAAAAAAACAGAGAAAAAGGGAGAGAAAAGAGAGGGAGAAAAGTAAGAGAGAGGGGGAATGTGGGAGGAAGAGAGAGCGAAAGAGAATGAGAGAGAGAGAGAGAAAAGCGAGTGAGAGAGAGGGAGAAAAGCGAGTGAGAGAGAGAGAGACAGAGAAGAAAGACGGTGAAAAGTGAGTGAGAGAGAGAAGAGAAGAGAAAAGCAAGAGAGTGAGATAGAAGAAAAAAGAGAAAAAAGAAAGTTCGAAAAGTGAGAGAGAAATAGAGAGAAGGAAAGAGCTCGTGGTATTAAATCCTTCAATCTGATGATGAGCTTTAAGCTTGAAATCCGGATAATTAAGATGATAAAAACAACAAATTGTGAGCAGAAACTAGCTTTTTAAAGATATTAAACAACACACTCTCTCCACCTTTATCATTTCTATGTAAAAAAACGTATTCGGCCCAGGGATTACATTTATTGTAGGCTATTGCTTTGAAAGCTCCAGACATATTTATTTCCTTTAATACCTCGCCAACCAACCGTTGAACCTAATTTTTAACAATTTGCCCTAATTATTGGTCTGTTTCTCCATGATATATCGAAAAAATTTTGGAATGATCGGTTTAAAGGAACGACTCCCGAGTATATACTTGCTTTTTCCAACACGTGGCATTTAGATATCTAATCAGCCGAATTTTGTCGAACGCTCAAACTATTTTATCATTTTATCATTTAACAACGTATTCGAAGAAGATTAATAAAGCTTGGTGTTACCGAATTGACTATCTGACTATTGACCTCCAGGGTTACAGTTGTTTTTATTTTGAATTATTTTAAAATAAAAATAAAATAAAAAATAAATATAGCAATATATCGTTTAGTTATGGTGATAATTTGTAAACGTCGAGATAAATGTGGGAAAAAATACAACCGTACTCGTTTTAAAGAAATAGGCAAAGCACACGCAGTTAAGCTCTATCTTGTCTCGTAAAGCTCTGCCATAAATTGTTTGCTGTTTCAGTCATCGGCAAAGTCTGCTTCAAGGATGAAAGAAAACCCGATTCGGCATATCTTCTGGTTTATAAAACGTTTGTTTATCCCAACTTTGAGCCTTGGCTTTGTCTATGACTCCAGGCAGTGCGTTATGAGTGTCGGGATGCAATTTACAACGACGGGTCGAAGTGATGAATTCTCGTTTTGGCCGAGGCAACAACCTTGGCTTTTATAATTCTTGAAATATTGTTAGAAAATAAATATTCACTTTAAAAAACACAAAACACACACACACACACAAACGCAATTGTTTACACATTAAATAATTCAACGCTTCATCACCTACAGTCAAGCTTAAAATGGGCACATAACACTGAGTCAAGTCTTAAGATAGCGTTTTGAAAAAAAGAAACATATCTAAAAAAAACTTCTTTTTAAGTTAATTAACATTAAATTTTTAAACTTAGAAGAATTAGTTAAAAAATGCCAGTGCGGGCGATTTCGAACTTACCTGGATTTAATTACTGATGCTTTATAGGGTGGGCGAGGAGGACTTGTTTTGTTTACCATAATTAATTCGTTACGGCAGTTAATATATTCGAAATCCTAATAACTATATATTATTGAGTGATTGTAGGTTTTTTCTTAATTCAATAACAAGTCAACGAAAGAACTTTTTTCCATAATAAACATGCACCTTCTAAGGAAAGGACTTAATTGTATCTTTAGACTCAACTTAAGAAGCCATTGGGTTGTCTCTTGCAGAAGAAAATCTCTAAAAACCTAGTAAGTATAAAACATCAACAAGAACGGGAGAAAGTTAAATTAATTATTACACAATAAAAAAATATTTTTTTTAAACAAATGCAATGTAAGACTTGAGACACGATTACTTATTATGGCCAACAGTATTTTTTAATAATTTCCTTACATAAATGTTCTATCGTAAGTTCAAGATACATAAAAAAAACACAGATCTGATCGAAAGGAATAAAAGAAACGAAGTGGGACACCTGCCTTTCCCAGCTTATATCCCTAATGCCGTACAAGACGTATAGGTCAAAGTTAAAGTAAATCTCCCAGGTTTATCTGGCAAAAAGCGATGACTTTCATTCGCAAAGGCGAATTTGACACTTTCTTAGCGATGAAAGAAGTCAGCGTTTTGACTCTCCCTGCTTATATCCCTAAGTCACACCACCTGGCTAGGTCAAAATCAAAATAAAACCCGGCCTTATCCCTGATTTTTAATATAAAATTATCTAGTTGTCATTTATTAATTTATCATCAACCTATCTGGTCCTTGGGCGCAGCATCAGGGATATAAGTAGGAAGAGCCAAATTACTGGCTGCTTAAGGTATGGTCATGAAGAAGAAAACAAATTTAGTTGCTACTGTCAACTTTCGGCCTATTTTAAGGCTATCATCAAGACAAAACATCCTTAAACATGTCTACAGAATGACAAATTTAACTTTTTACAGGCAATATTGTTACAATCCTTGGCAATGTTGGGACTGGGTCATTCTTCAAGAAAATTTAATATCGCCTAAAACCTTCAATATGTCAATCTGTAGACATATTTAAGGTTGTTTTGCTCTGATGATGACCTTAAAATAGGCCGATAGCTTTTCAGTAGGAACTAAATTTGCTTTCTTCTTCAAGACCACGTTCATGAGTGAAAAAGTGTTTGATACTTCTAATACTGAGGTTTTACAGTTGTCAAACGAGACTTTGTGTTTGGCTGTCTTGTATTGGAATTGTTTTGTCACAGATGATCAAATCTAGATATTTCTCCTTGCTTTGATAAAAAAAGACTGTAGTCAACAGGCGCGACATCAGGATATAAACTGTGAGAGTAAATTTGCTTAATTTAATTTTTTTCTGGGGATTTTACGGTTGTGATAACGAGACTTTGTGTTGGGCCGGTTTATTTGGGAGTAGCTTTGAAATAGTTGATCAAATCGGGGTATTGTTTCTTGTCCTTTAACATAAAAGACTAGTCAGGTGATCCGGCATCAGGGATATAAGCAGGGAGAGTGAAAACGCTTGCTACTTTCTAAGAGGTTTTCCATGTGTCCCGGATTAACAAGATACATAGATGGATGAAAATAATAGAAGTTAAACTGATGATGCT